GAGGGTGGGTGTTGGTGGCCAAGTCATATAGAAATAACTCACATGGGGCCTACTTTCCAGTCTGTGGAGTAAGAAATGGTGCATGATTATTGTGAAAATAGGTGCTATTGATCTTTTTGAGAAACACAGTGCCTAGTTTCTACCTGAAACATTTCAACAACGTTCTATTTTATGTCTTACCACATAAGAAACACTACTGGCAACCAAAATGGGTTCTAACACAAAAAATGAAGTTATTGAAACATTAAATCAGACATCAGACAAATGAATGGAAAAGAACCTAAAAACATTTAAGAGAGATAAAGAGAGGAGAAAATAGGCTGATATGCCTGTTTGTACGACTAGGGAAAAGGAAAGAAATATCTATTTTTATTGGAAATTACTTTTCACATTAGTGTTTGTATATGTATGAACATACATTTAAATGACAAACTCACTAAATTCCTTCCTGCCTTTTTTTGGTTCATGGAGCTACACAATTAAGTATCACAAGATACTTATGCACCCCCTGTTTTGCAAAGAAATCATCCACCCCGTTAGCTGACCACCTTTCCCATTGGACTGAAAATGTCATATCTCTAACCAGCCACTTAAATCTTTTCGTATATTCTTTGTATTTCCAAATTACAATTTCAGGTTCCTTCAACCACCTTACTACCAGATTAGAGTCACCTTCAATTAACAATCTATCATAATTTAAATCTCTAGCAATCTTTACTCCTTGCAGGACAGCTTGGAACTCTGCAAAAAACCGAGTCCCCTACTCCAACTGGACCTGAGAACGCAGCAACATGACCTTTACAGCTTCTAAGAACTCCCCCTATACCAGCCAGGCCTGGGTTCCCTGTGCTGCTACCATCGAAGATCAGTTTGATGAATCATTCATCCGGTGGTTTCCAGCCCACTACAGGTTTAACCCTTGTAGCAGAACTTCTAGCTACAGCTTCCAAATTTCTCCACATATCAAAGGCATTAAAGCTCTATACAAGATGCAACCCAGAACTGCTTCCTTATTTCTTTCGTTATCATTGAACACTCTGCCATTCCTTTCCTCCCACACTGTCCAAATCAATGCAGCCCTGATACATCTCCACAGCATCTCCACAGAATTTTCCCCCTTCTGTTAGGCCAACTGAAGGTCATTGGTTCAAAGAGACTTCTAATTTGAGTAGGCAAGCTCCACCTGTGACCAAGAAGTTCAAAAATCTGTTCCCAGAGACTAGGAACAAAAGGGCAGCTTAACCCGGTCAACTCAGATAGGGAAACAAAGTGAGAGATAGGTTCATTTTTAAACAAAGAAAGAGAATACAAAGAGGGGAACAGATTTTTAAGGGTTGAATTACCAATCCAAAGGTCCTCCCAAAAAAGAACCTTATCTCCAGAGAAAAAATCATTCCTGATTTGGCTTAGGAACTGAGGAAGCATTCCACAAATAGATTTCCGAGGAGAAGCCAAAGTAGCCTTCGACGATACCCCAACATCCCAACCATTGCCTGTAGAACCATGGATACTATCAATCACCTCTTGCCACAATCTTCCCCTCTCCTGTGTCCACCTCCAAAGCCATTTACCTAGTAGAGAGGAATTTTTCTTTTTTAATTTTCCTGTGCCTAAACCCCCTTGATCTTTAACTTTTACACACTACATCCCATTTGATCAAATGATCCTTTCTACCTTCCTCTGGCTCCCACAAAAAATCTTTTATCAACTTTTCTAGCTTCATCACTTCTCTCCATGGCATTCTAAACACCGATAAATAATAGACTGGAAAATTTGCTAATTTGGATTTTATCAATGTAATTCTACCTCCCATCGAAATATAATTTCACTTCCAGGCAGCCGATCTTTTAGAGTACCTTTCCACAATTGGGTTCCAAAACCTGCTTTCTTTCGGATTGTCTCCTAGTGGCATCCCAAGGTATTTCAAGGGCCAAACAGTTATCGGTCAAGCTAAAGACTCTGTTACTTCCTCTAGCTCCTCCTTCTCCAAATTTATTCTTGCCACACCACTCTTCTCAAAATTTATTTTCAACTTAGAAATATGTTTAAACAACATGATCAACTCCTTCAACTGCCTTGCTTTTAATGGATCCCCACCCTCACAGAAGATAATTGTATCGTCTGCAAACTGTAAATGTGTCACCACTGTATTAAGCCTGCCTACTCTCTAACCTTAGAGAGGTCCTTCAAATCTATTCTTAGGAGGAGTCTACTAAACACATCCACTATTAGGGTAAAAAGGAAGGGGGACAAGGGATTCCCTTGTCTTAATCCCCTAGTAGCCAGGAAGAAATCCCTCACCACGCCATTTACCAATACTGAGTAATGGCAAGTTTTCAAACAACCTTCAACCCATCCACACAATCTTTCCCCAAAACCATAGCATTTCAATACTTCCAACAGGAAAATCCAATCCATCACGTCATTGGCCTTCTCCAAGTCTAATTTATACATGAAACCTTTTCTCCTCCCCCTCTTATACTCCTCCACAGATTCATTGGCTATTAGAATTTGATCAGTAATTTTTCTACCTTGAACAAAAGCTCCTTGAGATTGTGTAACCAAACTAGGGAGGGCCTCTTCAACCTTAACGGCAGGACTTTAGCCAGAATTTTATACATGCTTGTCACCAAGTTGATAGTTATAAAACCTCTAGGACTAATGGCATCATCCTTCTTAGGTATCAAGGCCAAGAAAGTGGAATTGATCCCAGGGCTAAGGAAATGTTCCTCAGCAAATTCCTCAAAAACTGCTAGCAAATCAAATTTAATTATCTCCCAATAGTCTTGGTAAAAAGCCATTGTAAAGCCATCCAGTCCTGGAGCTTTAGATCTATCCATTGAGAAAACTTCTTTTCTAATATCTTCCAACTCAAAATCCTTTTCCAACACCCTTGCCACTTCTGTGTCCAACCTTGGCCAATTAATCTTTCCACCATCACTCCTACATCAGTCACATTCTTATATACTCTCTTAAAATGCTCAACAAAACAATTTGCAATTTCCTCTTGGCTCCTCTAGATTTCACCATTTATTTCCAATTTATCCACAAAATTTTTCCTTCTTTTTCCATTGGCTATTGCATGAAACAACTTAGTATTGCCATCACCCTCCTCAATCCACTTATGTCTTGACTTCTGCCTCCAACAGATCTCCTCTCTAAGTAAAATCTCCTCTAACTCCTTTTTTAAGGTCCATCTTAAGATTCTTTCCTCCTCAATCAACTTTTGACTTTCCTTTTGATCCAACTATTCAATTCTAGAGGTCACATTCAATTTTCTTTCCTCAACTCTTCCAAAAACATCTCTATTCCACTCCTTCATCTTGCCTTTTAAATGTTGCATCTATCTGTGAAACCTTACTCCCTTCCAATCAAAAGCCCCCACCTCTTCATTCCACCAATCTTCCACTCTCCTAGTAAATTCAGGATGGGTGAGCCACATATTTTCAAATCTAAAAGGAGTAGGACTTGTCAAAAAATCTTTTGTGCCTATTCTAATTGGATAGTGATCTGAGGTAACCCTAGGCAAAGCCCTCACCACCAGCCCTCCCCAGTACTCCTCCCAAGCCACATTGAACACAAATCTGTCCAGGTTTGAACAAATGGGGGAGGCTTGAAAATTGGACCAAGTGGAGCGGGTCTGCTGAATTGGTATTTCTTTTAGTTCACTATCCTCAATAAACTCATTGAAACTTCTCATGCTTGTGTAAATCACCTGATTGGGGTTGTTTGTCTCATTTGTAAATCTTATCACATTAAAATCACCTCCTAGGCACCAAGGCCCCTCCCAAAGACGTCTGATATCATAAAGCTCCTCCCACAATTGGCCTCTTTCGCATACCTAACTGGCCCATATATATTTGATTGCACCCAGGTGAAACCATCCCTCACATTTTTGAATTTTATAGACATTGAAAATTGGCCAATTACCTTCTCTAGAGATTCCAGATCTTCATTTCTCCACATTGTTAGT